GTTGCTTGATTTATTTAATGAGCTGTTAGATATGGAATATTTGGTTTGGTTTACAATAACGCACTCCATTAAATGTGTAGATAACTCTATTTGAGAGCAATCTGCGTCTAATTTGCCAGTTTTGGGGTTAATCAGTTATAATGGAGAGGTGACATCTTGATAATTGTAGTTACAAATTTCTTTTTCTGTTGAGTTGGAAAACTCTGTTGGTTTCTAAGAATTGCCTACTCTGACAAAATTAATTTTAAAAGTAATGGATTTAACAGTTCTATACCTGGAAACTGCTATAAAACAAACACCAGAATATAATCTGAGTGAATGACTAATTTGGAAAATATTTAACCTTTCAGACATTTTTAATAAACAATACTTACATTACAGTAGACTCGCTTCTGGATACCATATCGTAGAACCAAAACATCAAAGGATTGATCCAAAACCCCCATTACCATGGCTTCAGATTCCAGAGGGCCACATTCCTAATAGAATACATTAAATGTCAAAGCTATTGAATAAACAGCAATTTTTTAAAAAAGCATGAATCATACTATTTCCCACAAGACATCCATGGCAATATTCTGTAGTCTGGTCACTTAAAATTGAAGTAATTGAGGTACTTAAGTTAATTTGAAAATAATTATGATCATATTCAGCATTGCTTTAGCATGTGCTGCTTATGGATCTGAGGTATCATGTATTCAATTTACCTCTCCCAGTTTTCCACTGTTGTGAAACTAGTCAGGGGAAACATAAGTGAACAATACATGAGGAAAAGAAAGTGTTTCACCAGTTACATTTCTCCACACCTCAAATCCGTGTCACATTTGTGGTGTTAGGTTGCTGGCCCAGCATTTAATTGTGAAGTCACTGTAACCTAATCCAACTAAACATTGAAAAGACTAAAGCAAATCCATTGGTATGTTAAAAACTCCGTAGCATTACCATAAATGCCAACTTGCAAAACTTAATAATGCAGACCGACATCTTGAAAAAGCTGAAACAGTAGCAAAATCCTACAGATTATGGAAATCTGAAATAAAACAAAGTGCTAGAGAAACTCAGCAGGTCTGGCAACATCTGTGGAGACAGAAACAATGTTAACATTTCAAGTCTGATATGACCCATGTTCTGAACTGAAAGGAGCTGGAAAATGGTGTTTTTTTATTGTGAGAGAAGTGGTGCAAGTGGAACAGATTTTGAGGGTGGCCAGAGCAAAAGACAAAGAAAGTGCGAACAATGGTTAAAAAAAATAAAGAAATTATAAGTATGATAAAGAGAAAATGGTCCGATTTGCTGAAAGCAAAGTCAACAAGATACAGCTGATGGTTGAAGGTGGGGAGTTTGGAGAGCAGGGGTTGGGGCTGAGTGGAAGAAAAAATGGAGGACAGAGATCATGCTTTGAAGTTGTGAAACTCAGTACTGTGTCCTGGAGGCTTATACTTTGTATTACCATATGCAATTTGGCTCCTTTTCTTTTTACCAAAAGACTTGTAACCTATCTGTCATGAAATATGTTTCTATTTCTCCACATAAACAAGCTTCTTGCTGTCTCTCTCATGTAATTTATAAGTTTAGAACAAATTTTAGTTCCAATCCCATGTACTGGGCCTTCTAACATTAACTGAAAATTATTCAAATCTAGAATTATACTGCCTTTGATACAATTTAATTTGTTTTCTATTCAGCTTGTTTCAGATCTTCATAGACTGTTATTTAATTAAACAGAAATGGAGAAATAGCACCTTAATGAAAACACAATGATGTTGGGAGAGAGAATTGCAGGGCCAGGAATAGCGTAAATTGGAAGAGAGCCAGAACTTAGCCCATCCATGGTCTTGATACACATTAGGCTTCGGTTTAGCCACTCAACCAGAAGAATGATTTACTCGTACTAATAAATCCTTTATCAAGAACATATCTTTTTTTTAATATTATTCATTTTAGTACATCTAATGCATGGATCCAGGGTATACTTGCATGGTGACTGGAATGTTGGACTAGCAACCTATAGGTTGAGTTCAAATTAAACGATTGTAAATTGTATCAATAAACACAACAAATTGTGTGCTGCACAGTAAAACAAAAATGACCATGAAAAGCTGATGGATTTTAATCCCCATTGAAACAATTACTACTCTCATGATAATGAGTAATGGGGCATAAAGACATCATCCAAATCCTAAGAATAAGCAGAATGTTAATATTCATCAACCATGCTAATAATCTCTGAAGCTACTCTCATAAACGAGATTCTGGCATAGCATTCTAAGCAGATCTACGGGGATTGTATTATTTAATCTGGCTCCTTTATCATGTTGGCACAATCACAGACCCAGAAAAAAATTCATTTAAAGCACAAAATCTGGGGAAATTGAGTTTAATTTAGTTGTGCGAGCTGTGTGAACTGGCTTATGGACTCTGCTCTCCTAGAATTGACCTAAACAGTGCCAGTATAAAAGCTATGTAATATTCAATTTTAATTTATTGTGTTCTCACTCTCTTCCAAGTTCAAAGCCCACTTTTTTATTTTTTCACAGGATCTGGATGTTGCTGGCAAGGTCAACATTTATTACCTATGAAAAGGACTGTTTTAAAAACCAAGGACTGTGGTAAGGATTATTGCACTTTTCAAAAGCAAGCAACCTGCCACTCATTGTAAGTGCAATTTACACCAATGTTTGCGCAATCAGTACGGAGATTACTACAGATGAGTTGGAAACGGTTGGGAAAGCAAAATGATATTTGGATGTGGTGTTAGTTGATACCAAATCCTGTACTGCATCTTAGATATGGCAAAGGATTTTCTGCAGGTAACACAGTTGACCTAACAGTCTAAGGGAACTTTCAAGGACCAGGTTGATTGACTTGGTGGGTAAACTAGAGGTAGCAATTCCTGTTAAGAAGAGTTAAGAAGACAGAGATAATTGACGTACTATGATTTATGAATAATTCATTTATTGTCACTTGCATTTTACAGTGAATAATACAGTAAAATACAGTGACAAGCTTCAACTGTCGCCAGAATCCAGCGCCATTTTGAATAGATTAAGAATAAAAAGGATAAAAGGTATAGCTGAAAGAGAGTCTTGAGCCCTCAGCTGGCTCACCAACGACACTTGCTCCTGCCAAAGCTGATGCTGGGTCCTATGCTAAACCCACACTTGCCCCGCAACCAGGAGTCCCTGGCTCTGCTGCAACCTCAATGATACCAGGAGTCCTGGCTCCGGGCATACTATGCTGCTGCTGCTAAAGCCGCCACTTCTCCAATGCCAGGAGTCCCCACTCTGGGCCTACAGCAACCAGGAGTTCCTGGTTCCACTGATAAATCAGGCTGCCGCCTCATCAAGCGTCCCGTTCAGGCCGCCCTCCTCGGAGATATCGCCTTGTTGCCATTGCCATCTTGAAAAGTCCGCTGCCACTGCCAACACGAGGTCCGAGTGCTGGGAGAATGTCCCTGCCGCTGCTGCTGCCACTACCACCAGCCGCCGTGAGGAGCCACTATTCCATGCATTGCGCACTCTAGCTGCCATGCCGATTGGCACCAACTAACTCATTGCAAAAGGTTCCAAGGTAAAGAAAAACAAAAGAAAAAAATGAAAGATAAAGAGAAGTAAAAACAAAATGAAAGAAAGCATGCGGGAGCGGTTGAGCCCCAGGTAAGAGCCCTACGCAGCTCTAATAGCACAACATTTGGATTTAGAAGAAATGAAACCAATAATGACAGTATTGAAACATCAGAATCAGGTGATATTCAGTTACAGGTAGAAGTCTGACCGTGAATTCCATTTATCACTGGCTCCTACAGGACTATTCTCATCACCATATTTGCTTACCCCTACAAAGTACTTTTTAAATACAAGTAGTGGATTTGCAATGAATTTCACGTACTGTAATCAAACTTCCTTATAAGGTTTAAATGTAGAGAATCTCAAATGCTTTCCAGATCTATGTTGAACATGTTTACTGGATTACCCTCATTTACTTTCATCTGAATAAATTCCTCCTTGGATTGACTTCATGAGCATCCTGTAAAGTGCAAAAACCTTTTGTCCACTAATGATGGAAATTTAATGATTCATAACTCTCAATATTGTGCCTCACTTTAATTGTAAATCCACAACAGTTGGGAGCAAGGGTTAAAGAATATGAATATAATCATAGATTTCTTTAAACCAACTGGAAGTCATCTTAAAAAGAAACTGTTAACCTCTTTATAAAAGATAATTTATGAATATAGTCGGTTCTGCTATAATGCGATAGTTGCATTCCTATGCAACATCGCATTAAAGAAAATTGCACTATAAAAATAATGTGGCCTATGGGAAAAGTGAGGTTGGGGCAGATCACCAAAAAAAAATCACTCAAAATTGCTCAACAATCACTCAAAAGCCTAACACAAAGGATAGCACAATTTGAATAAATGTTTAATTCATATCTAATAGTGAAATTAAAGTAAATTTAACACTTTACCTTGAAAAAATGTCAAGATGACATGAAGGGGGAGGAGGTTGTACTGTACCTCTCTCAGAAAGCACTTCACAACAAAGCCCGTGAAATGATCACATGATGCTGGTGCAGAGACTCTTTTGGCGCTAACAGTGTACGTATTCATGACAAAGCCCATGAAACAATCATGTGATGTCGACGCGTACTCCTCCGCGCACTGATGAAATTGTGGTATAGACAACACAAGTTTGCGTTTTAGAAATAGCGTTCCCCTATTCGCCAATCGTGTTACAGCCAATTCACATTGACGGAACATGCATTTAAGCAGAACTGACTGTACAACAATCCTAACTATTAAAGTTAATGAAATTGCCCTTCATAATGGGGAGGTAATGGTCTATTGGTGTTATTGCTTGACTGTTAATCCAGAGAGCCAGATAATGTTCTGGGCACGGTAGATGGAATTTGAATTCACTGAAAATCTGGAATTAAGGGTGTAATGATGACCATGAAACTGTTTCAATTGTTGGAAAAAAAAAACCCATCTGGTTCACTAATATCCTTTAGGGACGTGTTTACCTGGTCTGGCCTACATGTGACTCCAGACCCAGAGCAATGTGGTTGATTCTTAACAGCCCTTTGGGCAATTAGAATTGCACAATAAATGCTGGCCTAGCCAGCGACGCCTTCATCTCATGAATGAATTGAATAAAAAAACACACCAGACTTAATCCTGTTATTGGTATTAATTCATAAATAGTATTAATATTTGCTGTGATTTTCCCAGACACTTTCTCAGGTAAATTTCCAATTTGCTTGTACAGCATTTACTTTGGAAGAGAAATAGTTCTGTCTAGCATCAAGCCTAAATTCTGGAAAGAGGTTTTTTTCTTACAAACTAAATATAATTGATACTGGACTCCTTTGATGTTTCACTGGGTAAATGCATTTTCTGAATGATACTGAGGAATACAGACTATGAAAGGACACAGGTTGAATCCATGTTGTGTAGACAAGTTAACTGATCTCACAATTTCTATGCCTCAACGTATTGAAAGAATACTGAATGTTTTTGCTTGCAATTGAAATTCCTAAAAATATATATGGATATCAGATGGAAGACAGGATTAAGTTCAGTTGTTTTAACTCCTGTGACCTAACAGTCTATTGTCAATTACTGTCCAAGTTCACTTAAAAGATCACTTCTGGTGCCTGTGGAGCTGCATCACACCACTGATCAGCTTACAAATGGAGGAAAAGAAAGGAAAAGAAAATGCTAAACTAAAACTCTATGGAGCAATATTGTCTTCACAGTGATTAAATACATGCATAAAGAAAATTTCCCTCAGTAAAAGAGATTTCCCAAAGCATGAACTGGGTTAAAAATAACATTTGTTAATGGTCATAAGTAGTCTAACAGAGAAACCAGTGTTTCCGTATGTTGAAATGCAAATTGCCAAGGATATTTCTTTCCCTTTTTGATTAAAAATTAAACATAACTTTCACATTGGTTGTAACACTAGCAATCTAGACTCTTGGTTCAGGCCCAGTGTGATTGGAACAGTTCTACTGAACCCTTGCTAAATATGCTGTGAAAAAATCAGACATCAGCACAAGCCAGTCTGATCTTCACTGACTGCTTAATTACATTTATAATTGCACTATTTATTAGATAACTATTTATCTGAAATTGAATACATAAACACATCATCAATAATTGTACTTTTCAATGATCAGATCTCCCATGGTTTTTGTTCCAAGCTGAAAATTTGTATTAGGGTCATAATGTCAAGTAGTATAACCTGAGGCACAGTATCACTGACATTGGGATTTCAAAGCAGTATCAAGGGGACAGGGTCTCTGTCAAATGGTACTTATACAGATATGGTGTGGGGGATTTGGGTTTCTTTAAAAACTAGAGAGGAAACTTCTTCAAATGCTAAGGAATCCAGTGTTAAAGAGAGAGAGAGAAAACTCGTCCACTTTGGCAGGAAGAATAGAAAGCAACATATTATTTAAACAGAAACAGACTGCGTAAGTCTATTTGACAGTGGGATCTGGGTGATCAAGTACATGAATTCCAATGCTACAAAATTTGGATAGTGGATTAGGATATAGCTGTCAAACAAATTGATTAAACAGTAAATAAAATACATTTTGTTCACCTGCCATTTAGGCGCACTCAATCAACCCAATCAAATGTCAGCATAACTAGCCTGATTTTTAACTGTCTGCATACCAACATTTATAGCATGCTATTTATTTTGGGGAGAGGGAGAAATGTTCACTTTTGCAGGAAGCATAGATAACAACATAATATTTAAACAGAAAGAGACTGCATAATCACGGTACAGAGGGATATGGGTGCCCAGGTTCATGAATCTCAAAAATATTGGTATGCAGATACAAGTGATATGCAAGCCAAATGCAATGTGGCCATTTATTGTGAATGAATTGGATTATGAAAGTAGGGAGGCTTTGCTAGAGTTGTATCAGGTGCTCGCAACACCACACGAGTAGTGTGTAAAATTTTGGTCTCCTTATCAGAGAAGATTCACTTGACAGATTCTTGAGATGAAGAGGTTGTTTTTTGGGGAAAGGCAGCACGGTGGCTTAGTGGTTAACACAGCTGCCTCACAGCGCCAGGGACCCGGGTTCGATTCCACCCTTGGTGTCCGTGACCACTCCCTGTGTCTGCGTGGGTTTCCTCCGGGTGCTGCAGTTTCCTCCCGCAGTCCAAAGATGTGCAGGATTGCCCATGCTAAATTGCCCATAGTGTCCAGTGATGTTTAGATTAGGTAAGTTAAACATGGGAAATGCAGAAATAGGGGAATGGGTCTGGGTGGGATGCTCTTTGGAGGGGCGGTATGGACTTGTTGGGCCAAATGGCCTGTTTCCACATTGTAGGGATTCTATGATTCATTTGGCATATATTTAATTACAACAAATTATCCACACATCTTTATCATAATTGAAGTCTGAAAAAAAAATCCTTGACCCTGATCACAGGTAAGGCCATCCCTAATAATTTCCTTGTATCACTCCATCCACATTCGTATAAAATATGCAACCAGAATTCCTGCTCTATCGGCACCCATTAAAAACTATCCCCAGTTTGTTTATAATTGCACTTTCAGTATCCAAACTTTGGGCCTATACTGAACATTGCATTCTGCAGCTGCGAAGCCATTCTGTCAGCCATTTCCATTTGAATCCATTTATTCAAGCAAGTTAAAATTAATCCTTACAAGGAGATGGTTATGGTGAGAGCAAATTCATACCAAGGCACTTCATAGAATGTTACACAGAATTTGTATCTCACAAATGTTGACACCAATCCACAAAAACAGAAAGTAGGGCAGGTTAGCAAAAGCTTGACCAAAAAAAAGTCGGTAAAAAAACCTTAAAGGAAGACAAAATGGTAGAGAAATGGAGCTATTTAGATGAAAAACAAGGCTTGGGGCCTACACAGTTGGTGATATGGCTGTTGTTAGCAGAGTGAAGGAAATCAAGGATGCATAACAAATCGGAATTGGTTGACTACGCAAATCTTGAACAGATTGTAAGACATTATAGAAATAGAGAGTGGCAAGGAGTTTGCAGATGAGAATTTTGAGCTGGTTACTTAGGAGCAATGTGCATTAGGGTGATGAGCGAATGGCACTTGGTGAAAATACCCATGGCAAATACATCTATAACAGTATAATTACACGTTAAAGTACATATTTCTGATAAATCCTTTTTACCATATAAACCACTGAGCCATATTTCTTCTGCAGGGGCCCAAATTTCTTTTTAACACACTTCTCCACTTTTAGCTTTTCTGTATAAGCTAATACTCCTCTCCCTTCCACCACCCACTTGTTAATGTCAGCACCCTTTCTCACCACTTCCTACTACTGGGATTGACTTTGGTTCACCACTCTAAATGCTATTTCTACCTTCTCCCTTTTTCTTTTCAATGGGTATGTTTGATAGCTCCTGCTTTATTTTCATTTACCTTCCTCCTTTTCATTGCCATTAATTTCTCTCTTCAATTTTCCTTCAGTGCCACTCCTTCCAGAAAACTGCTGCTAATTCTATTGACTTTGTCTCCTGTATTCACAACTAATTCCCATCCGTGTCCAGTGACTGAAATCACATTGATGAACAGCATAACAGCTAAGATACATTTCATCAGCAAAACAATTACAAGCTATCAAAAAAGTAATTGTAAGGCTTCTTACCTTCACAAAAACAGAGAAGAAAATATCAGTGCTAAGCTCTTGTACTTTTTTTGAAGCACTCTTTTTTGCATTGCAATGGTCTGCTTGTTTCTGAATGTCACTTTTATCTAAACCAAACTGATGGCCAGAACCTGAATAACAAAATCCAGAATATTAAGCACAAATCAAAATATTCACTGACCATTATTTTGTAAAGTGACTCAAAATCACTCAATTAGGTTTGAAGTTTTGTTATTGGTTGTGCTCCAGTTTATGAAACTGGCTAGCTGTTTGATAACAGAAGCAAAATATCGCAGATGCGGGATAATAGAAATTTACGCAGAAAATGCTGGAAGTACTCAACAAGTTAGGCAGAAATTGTGGCGAGAAAAACAGTTAACTTTTCAGGTTGATGACTTTCAAAAAAACACTGTCTGACTTGGTATTTTCAGCATTTTCTGGCTGACAATTTGACGGAACAGCTGAGTTTAAATGTTGAATTTACAAAATGCAATAATTTTGCTGGCACAATGTTTAAGTTTATTTTACAACTTCTGGAATAATTTAATGGATAAATGGTTATTTGAATTTGGATTTAACGAAAAAACTTGAGCAACATGCCATTTAAACAGAACAGAGCGCTCTTAAGTGAGAATCCATACAATGTGACTCATTTAGTCAATGAACAACTGGCCTCCAGATGAACTGTTGCTTCAAATGCCTGTAATGCACTTACCAGTCAAAAAAACTACAAGTTAGTTTTGTAACTTCAGTACTATTTATTTCAATTTTAGTCTTGATGAGCTATACCAGGAGTTGGGGAAATTTTTAGATCAATAATTAGATGAGATAAAATAAAGGAATTCAAACGATGCTGACGTTGTCAAAACCTATTTCCACAATTGCACACTTTTAATTGTACTCTGCAAGATGAATGCATGAAGAGTTCTGGTTGATTGCATCTGATAAATGTTAAACTGACCTTCAGTTGGAAAGCAGTTACTTAGTACAATTTCTCCAAATGAAACAGAATTTACTTTATAAAGGGTAAGTATAATTGGTTAAAACTGAATACAACTTCAATAATCCTTATGGCTTTCTTAATTGGCAACAGATACCAATCTCTCATTCTTCAATACAGATAAAAGAGAAACAAAGGATTCAGAAAGTTCAGAAATAATCATTTAAAAATACATTTTTGAGATTTTTCTTGTTTAGTTAACAGTTTGATTCAAAGAAAATGCTGTAAATATCATGCTGTGAAAACAGAAGCAGTCTGTATGCAGAAGCAGCTACAAACAGGAATACAATTTTTCAAATTCAGTATTATACATCAGAAGATGCAAATAATTTAAATGAAAAACAAATAGTTGTGGGGAGACATTGGTCACCTGATAGAAATTCAGGGCCAGAACCCAAACTAATTATTTTTCTTCCTTCATGAACACAGGAATTCTGAAAATATTCCACAGGTGTGTGGCAAAAATAGGCCTTCATTGGCTGAAAACAAAATCCAAAGGTCAAATTTGAGATGTGAGACCCTGCTTAAAAATGGCTCTTCTCAGCTGTACAAATCCATTTTAAACCATTAAAAGCATTATAGGAAAAATATATATTTATTCAATATTTCATTTTTTTTCACTACAGACACCCACATTCTCACTTTCAGCAAAGATTGTGTTACCTACCAAGTGATGCAGCAAGAAGTCGATGCACAATAATATCAGCGTAACGGCGAATAGGGGAAGTGAAGTGAGTGTAGAGAGGCACGTTGAGTGCATAATGGCGGAATAATGTTTCATCACGAAGGACTCCAGTACAGAAGTACTGTGCCATCTGGAAAGAGATTAATTACACTTTCCCTGAAGTTGCTTTCATTTAGGAACATATAAAACATATGGCAGAATGTGTTTTTGTATATGCCTCACAATCTATGGTATTGCTTTCTAAGATATTTCAGAACATTGTAGTCACCAAGAAAACATAAGCCACAACTCTATGGACAAGCAGGAATGTTTGTGGAGGTATCCTTCCCTTCAAAGAATGAAGATGACTCAGAAGTACCTTTTTGTGCTCTTTTTCATTCATGAAATCATTAATGTAGATGTAGATTGACAGATTAATGATATTGGGGTGGATGAACCCTTCTGCCAAAAATGTCCCATAAGTCAAGTGAATGAACACTTAGGTGTGTTCTGCACAACAGTTTAACAAAACTTCGATGTCCAGCATTTACAAATAGCCTCAACAGGCAATCACAAATGAGTAAAGAGCAGCCACAGAATGAGACAGCTGGGGCAGCACAGTGGCTCAGTGGTTAGCACTGCTGCCTCACAGCGCCATGGACCCAGGTTCAATTCCATCCGTGGGCGACTGTCTGTGTGGAGTTTGCACAATTTCCCAGTGTCTAAGTGGGTTTCCTCCACGTGATCTGGTTTCCTCCCACAGTACAAAGATGTGCAAATTACGTGGATTGACCGTACTAAATGTCCAGGGATGTGCAGTCTAGGTGGATTGGCCTTTGGAAATGCACGGTGATAGGGTGTGTCTGGGTGGGATGCTCTTTGGAGTGTAGCATGAACTTGATGGGCCGAATGGCCAGCTTCCACACTGTAGGGATTCTATGATTCATTACCCAGAATCACAGGTCGAGAAAATGTATCCAAGGACAACATATGTAAAGAAGTGAATGTAGTTCTGATAATCAATTAAAAACTGGAAGTTAATATTTGAATAACTGGATTTAATTTCAAAACACCTTGCTGGTGAGTGGCAATCTCACGCAGATCATCACTCCACCATTTTTTTTAAAGAAAGAAGGGAGCTCTGCATCTCTGACAGGAGATTCTGCTCTACCTCATAAATGAGGAGACATACTTTCATTCTGACAGTTCTTTCTAAGTAGAGATAAAAAGATGGAGCAAATAAATTTACAAATTTGCAAAAAGAAAGATTTCTTGTATCCAACATTATTATTTTCCATTGAGATGATGGTGAAGTCGCAATGTCATTGGACTAGTAATCCAGGTTAGTTCTCCAGGGGCATGGGTTCAAATCTTACCAACCCATTGTGGTATTTCAAATTTAATTAATAAATCTCAAATATTAACAGTCATTTGGTAGTACAGAACTTGAGTGCTGCTGAAGGCAGACTCATTTTATCAAATCTTTATTGTGTTGCAAAAATCTGAAGGGATATGATGCGCCCGTCTTTCTGATGTCTGGCTTACATACCTGACATCACACTCCTAGTTAAATTTAGGAACATTACTCATTTGTGTGATACACAGAACATCTCTTCAGCCTGACAGCAACATCCTCTTAGTGAAGAATACCACTTGTGCTGCTACAATTGGGGGTTGCAATGGCCTAGTGGTATTATCGCTAGACTACTAATCCAGAAACTCAGCAAATGGCAAATGGTGGAATTTGAATTCAATAAAGAATCTAGAATTAAGGGTCTAATGATGACTATGAAACCATTGTTGGTTGTTGGAAAAACCTATCCAGTTCACTATTGTCCTTGAGGGAAGGAAATCTGCCATCCTTACCTGACCTGGCCTACATGTGACTCCTGACCCATAACAATGTGGTTGACACTCTGGGCAATTAGGGATAGGCAGTAAATGCTGGCCTAGCCAGAGATGCCAACATCCCATGAGTAAATTAAGAAAAATTAGTAGCGCCATATAAAGCCAACTTCCTCTGTTGTTCAAGCTTTGGAGACATTTTATTCCGGATAACAGAGATAGGCAATATTCAGGACCAAAAGATTGGCAATAAGGCTGTCTGAGTTTGTATAAAGTAATCCTGTGGGATAATAGTTATATGGACCACATAATTTCTTGTTGGATTCTGTGCAACAGTGCACAACATTAGATGCTAAATGTGCCATCCTTATCTGGCTTGGCCTATATGTGACTCCAGACCTGCAGCAATGCGGCTGACTGTTAACTGCCCTCTAAAATGTCCCAGCAAGCCACTCAGTTCAAGGGCAATTAGCAATGGGCAACAAATTTTTGATAAATTAATTTAAATTTCACCAGCTGCTTTGATAAGATTTGAACCCATGTCCACAGAATATTAGCTTAGACCTCTGAATTACTCGTCCTGTGACCTTACCAGCATACCACAAATATATTTTCTATATCTGAGTTACAATATATCATAAATGCATGAATTTTCAATTGTGAATGACAGTACAGTACACATACAATATTTATGTTCAATTTCAGGCAAATATAAAATTTGCAATTGAGTTAGGAATGTAATGCCTTGTACTGAACTCAAGAATGTGTCATAAGACACATTTGGTGATCAAAGCTTCAAAGTACCCTATAATGAATTTTCTCTAAACATTCTGTTTGTACAGTCAACTTAAATATGAGCATGTTACATTATTACATTAAATTGTGTCAGCTCACAGAAATGTAGATAAGCACAAAGAATATAAAGTTCTTTTGAAATAACAATGTATTTGTAATTACACAAATGCCGTATACGCAAGTTTATTTTCTTGGAGTCCGGAATAATGTACATTTTTGTTAGCAGACTAATATATCATTCTTATTCAAACAAAAGATCTTCATACCATTTAAATCACTTTTACCTGCATTGGTCGAGAGCACATATGGGTCAGTACTTCTTTTCTGGCAGCAGAATACTGATCATTCCCAACAGTTTCATTTAGGGTGTTCTGTTTTACAAGTCAGCAAACAAAAAAAGTTAGCTTTGAAATCATACTACCTTCACAAATTGTAAGCTAACCAGCAGAAACATTTAATTTTACATGAGCATTGATCAAAGGTTTATTTCTTCATCTTCTTCACTGGTAAACATCAAGTAAATATATTTTAATGTAATTTTTTTGTGAGACAGTGAAGATATTATTAAACCAGGCTTTCTGTTAATTTTTAACTATTGCTTGAAAAGCGGGTACTCAAATTTCACTACATAATAGCTGGAAGTTTCATACGATATTCTTCCACCACAAAGAAGGAAACATTGGATTGGGTTTCTACTTGTATCTAGGATTTGGCTTGCTTTGATACACCTTAAATAAATCAAAACGATATACACTCTGCCAAAATTCATATTTTGTCTACTCAAGTAAGACTGCAGTACAATACTGGGTAAAATATATTTCAACTTCACTTTTAAGTAAAAACATCAAGGTAACAGAGGTGGTGGAGGTGAGTACAATTCGGACATTTCAGAGGCATCTGGATGGGTATATGAACAGGAAAGATCTGGACGGATATGGGCCACATGCTGGTAAATGGGACTAGGTCAGATTGCGATATCTGTTCAGCATGGATAAGTTGGACCCAAATACAGCATAATACTTAGTTTCAGAACTATAAGCCGTTTGCACCAGCTAGGTAATACAGCATAACTACATTCAAAATTAGGATATCACAAACCCAACAGTTTTAGTCATTATAGTTTCCTTAAGAGGCAGCAATTATATCCTTGGCCCACTGGATAGTTTTTAGTTTCTATCTTTCTCTGTGATTTCTGTTTCCAGCATCTGGTGTATTTTTTACCAGGGTATCTGTGATCTCTCCAAAGATGCTAAAGATGCATGAAGGAGAGGGTGAAGTGATCTCCACAATCAGTTTGAACCACTGATCTGAATTGCAGACCACAAACACAATTTTCAGTAAATGACTTTTGAGAGTTTCAAAGAGAACTGTTCAGGGGCAGGGAATAAGCAGGAGTACAGAGTTTTCAAAATAGCATTCTCCCTCAAATGGCTGTCTCCCCTAAAATGAAGTTTGAATTAATTTTAAGAGTAAACAGATCGGATTTTATTTCAGAGATGCCTGCTTCAATTGAGCCTCTCGAGCTGAAGCAATTTCAGGAATGATTTGGTCCTTAATCAATATGATGTAAACATAAAATTAAATAAACAAACTAAAATAAAACAAAGAACTGCCTTAAAAATAAACTGCCAAGGGAATTTGTATGAAGAAATCTTGTAAACAACTCAAGGAGGTCTTATTGTTTATGTTAAATATACAGAAATTATGGATTTTCTGATCAAATTTCATATTTATTTGAGTACAATTATCAATATATTCTTGTTTTGATTTACCTTTGTGTATGTGATCAAAGTCAACCCTGCACATGATAACTCAGGATGTGAAACAACCCATTGCAAACTAAAATGAAGATGCCCAGGAACAGCTATTATTAATTTTAGTATGGAAAGTGCCTTGTCACAAAGGGAAATGTCATTCATACTGGTGTAGAATGTTTCAAATTTATATAAGTATATTCAAGTTATAAAATGGAAGTAGGTGCTACTGCTTCTATTTTCAACTAAGATATTCAATATTGTTTGCAAGGAACAGTTTCAAATATCAGAGATATACTTAGACAATTATGAAACAAATTCATGCATACGAACCATCTCCTAATAAGTTGTCAATCCTCCCAGAATGTCCAGCCCCAAAGAAAAATACTTTGAATTCATGACGTGTGCTCATATGCCCACTCCTCACGGGTCAGAGGTGCACACAAATTGTACCCAAGGAATTCAGAACAAAGATTTAATGGATCGATTCCCTGTTCAAAATGGGATTTTCATCAGCCTGTTCTAAATGATGTTTGTTTTGAGATTCTGGGTTTTTTGCAAAACTGGGTGTCATATGATTAAGCCCCTAGGAATACATCAAACAAGTGCTGACATTTCATAGAATGGTCACTTAAAAGTGCACTAATAACATTTTACTTTTACAATTATACTTAAAATTTGAAAGACAATTGGAAAACCTGTTTATTTGACAAATGTTGATTCAAAAGTGTTTCAACTCATCTGTTTTCAATAAGAGGCAGAAGTTTCTCTTAAATTATCACAGTTTTGTATCCAATGTTCTGTAAACTCACATGTAATGCGCCTGCAGTTCGTAAGTCAAGCTTAACTCCCAGCTCCTCAAAGAATGCAGCGAGGTCATCGAGCATGTTTGTTTGTGGTGGTGGATGTCGGCGTAGTAAAGCTTGTTCATGGAATAAACCATAGATGATATGTGCAACTGCCATGTTTGCCAGTAACATGAACTCTTCAATCAACCTAAAAAAAGTGCAATATGTTTCAAGGTAATAAAAACGCCATGTGTAACTTAACATTGCCATTGATAAAAAGCAAGACTTCATACAAATACAAACTCCTCCTTTACTGCTGCGGGAGGAAGGAGGGCAAGGGAGTGAACATCAGATGAAACAGTGCGAGGAGAAAAATTATGTATGCTGTCACAGGCAAGTTGTGAGTTGACTGGTTGAACAGCTACTCTTATAGACTGTATTTCAACTTCAGTAATTTTGAAAACATACATTTCTAAACTAAGACAGAGAAAGAAAAAAATCATAGGTACAGGAGACGGAACTGACTGATGAGTAAGGGGTAAAGAATTTCTATTTTCTACTTATCCCGGGTTTTTAGAGAGTAGTGCAAGAGCAAGGTAAAGTAGATAAAGTCACAGATGGTAAAGTAACTCTAAAGTATAAGTTAAGGTATGGCAGTGCAGCTTGGTCAAGTAGAATGGTCATCCTGTAGCAGGTGAGAGTTGTGGATGCTTTTAGGTAGATGAGCCCCTGTGCAGAAACTGTTACTAGCTGTACAAGCTTGAGCTCCAGGTTTCAGAACTTGAGCAGCAGCTAGAGTCACAGAGGTGTATCTGTGAGGCACAGAACTACATGGACAGCACATTCAGAGAGATGGTCACACTGTGCATTAGGGGAAGCAAGAAGGTAGGAATGGATGACTGCACAAAAAAGACCAAGAGAAACAGGCAGGTAAAGAAGGTTTTCCCAGAAGTCCTGCAGGTCATGAGACCATTATCTGTACTGGATATCAGTAATGTTAATGGATCTTTGAAGGAACGTAGCAAGAGCCAAGCCAAGCCACTGGCACCATGGGTGGCAGCTGTACAGGAGAGGAGGAAGAAGAGCAAAGGGAAGTGCTGACAGGGAATTCTTTAGTTAAGTGAACAGACAAGTGTGTTTGCAGCTGTCAATGTGATGGCACGTTGCCTCCCTGGTGCCAAGGTGAAGAATGTCATGGAATGGCTGTACAATATTCTTCTTCTGGAGGACAAACAGCCAATGGTCATTGTCCATATTGGTACTAATGACATAGATAGGAAGGAGGATTTTATCTGCAATCATCATTTAGGGAGCAGGATATAAAGTTGGCAAGCAGGACCTCTAAAGTAGTAATCTCCAGATTACTCTCAGTGAGCCACATACAATTGAGCAGAGAAATGGGAAGATAAGACAGATGAATGCATGGCTTGAAATATGGTGCAGGAGGGAAAGCTTTAGATTCCTGAGATAATGGAACTGGGTCTGAGGAAGATGGCGTTTGTACATGCCAGTCATGTTGTATCTGAACAGAGCTGGAACTGAATTATATGCGAGGCATTTTGCTAAGTTCTATTAGCAAGAGTTTAAACTAACTCAGAAGATGTCTCCAAACCAGGATAGAATATTAGAAAGTAATATTAGGGTATGTGAAATACTCGTAGAGGCAGATAGCCCTAAAATAATGAATAATAAGCAAATGGGTAGTGTTGGAGTAAAGGGAGAAATAATGAAATGTAAATCAGGGTTACACTGCATGTGTGTGAATCCACATGGTTTATGGCAGCACGGTGGCTCAGTAGTTAGCACTGCTGCCTCACAGTGCCAGGGACCTGGGTTCGATTTCACCCTCGGGTGACTGTGTGGAGTTTGCACATTCGCCCAGTGTCTGCATGGGTTTCCTGTGGGTGCTTCAGTTTCCTCCCACCGTCCAAAGATATGCAAGTTAAGTGGAATCGCCATGCTAAATTGCCCACAGTGTCCAGAGATGTATATTAGACATGGGAAATGCAGGGTTACAGGGATAGGGTTGAGGTTGGTTCTGGATGGGATGCTCTTCAAAGGGTCGGTATGGACTCAATGGGTCAAAGAGCCTGCTTCCACACTGTAGGGATTCTATGATAATGATAATTAACAAAAGTGGGGGCAGGCAGTTTGTATTGAGGGATTAAGATCCGATGGAGATAATGGAGACCTGACTTAAGGAAAGACAGATCTGTATGTTAAATGTTCCCGTTTACAAAGTGTTTAGAAAGGTTAGGAAAGGAAAAAATGGAGGAGGGATGGAGTTTTTGGTGAAAGAAAGCATTGTAGTACAGGTGAAAGAGGGTGTGTTTCAGAGGCCTCAAGGTCAGAATTGATTTGGCTGGAACTAAGGAATAGTAAGGGTGAAATTCATTGCTTAGTGTAATATATAGACCACCAAGTAGTTCAAAGGATAACAAGGAACAAATCTGCAAGGAAATTACAGAGAAGTGAAAACATCATCAAGAGTTATAATGGGAGGCTTGAATTAGCCAGAATTCCGACTGGGATAGCAGTAGTGTAAGGAACAAGTGTTCTTAGGTGCTGTTGAGAAGAATTCCCAAAAGCAATGTGTGTGCTGGCCAATAAGAAAGGATGGACTGTTAGACCTGGTTCGTGGGAATGAGATGGGTCAAGTAGACCTAATGACAGTGGGAAAATATTTAGGGGACAGTGATCATTGTATCATAAGGTTTAGAATGATGGTAGACAACTATGTTGGTCAATCCAGAGTATGAATAATCAACTGGCACAGACTGGATTTCAATTAAGTAGAAAGCTGGACCAGATAGACTAGAACCAAAGATTTATGGGGAAAAACTACAGTTGAACAGGAGAAACACGCAGGTTAAACAACCTTCAAAGAGGAGATAGTTTGGACATGGTCAAGGTACATGCCCTCAAAAGGGAAAGGTAGGACAAACAAATCCAGAGCTCCCCAAATGACAAAGGAAATAGAAATTAAAGTAAAGAATAAAAAGTACCAGGTAGTTAATAAAGTTGAGAATCAAGCTTAATACAGGAAGTTTAGAAGGGAAGTGAAAAAGCAAACATGAAAAGCAAAGAGGGATGAAGAAAAAAGACCGCATCTAACAAAGAGAAATCCTAAAGTCTTCTTAAGAACATCAATAGTAAAAGGGTGGTAAAAGGACCAAAAAGGAATCTACACAGGGGCAAGAGGCATGGCTGAGATGTTAAATTAATATTTTGTATCTGTCTTTACTTAAGAGGCAAGTGTTGGCCAGGCCTTGACGACAGAAGAGGAAACTCAGTCACTTAAAGGGTTTAAAATGGATAAGGATGAGGTACTTAAATTTGATAAGGTACCAAAACCAGAACCAGATGAGATGTATCCAAGGATATTTAAGGAAGCAAGAGTGAAAATTGTAGAGAACAGGCAAAAATCTTTGCCCTTGTCTGGATTCAGCAATGATGGTGAAGGATCGCAGAATTACTAACATTATCCCCTTGTTCAAAAAAAAGGATTTAAAGATCAGCCCAGCAACTACAGATCAGTCAGTTTAACTTCGGTGATGGGAAACTTTGAGGAACAATTACTATGAAAAAAATGTGGATTGATTCTGAAGAGTCAGCAGAATTTGTTAAGGAAAAATTATATCTAACTACCGCTTCAAAAATGAAGCAAAGTTACTTGGCACACAAACCCATTTTAAGTAAGCCATATTCTGGAATGATTCCTTCGTGTCTTCTTCTTCTTCCTTGCTCGATGGCTACTCGAAACTTCCCTGTAACTGCAGGGTGACCAGCTTCTGCAACCTGCCATCCAAGAATCTCTCAGTTTCCCTCATGGTTTGCACTGACTCCAGCCATCCCTCAAGCTCAGAAACCCCAAACTCCAAATTGAATTTTGAGCAACAGGAGACACTTCCTGCACATAAGCTTATCATATTTTCCCATAAGGCACGTGCATTGAAGAGGTCTCAGCGTTTTACTTTAAAATATCCCCTTTATGTAGTTTGTTAGATTCTTACTGCTCACCATGTACATGTAATAAATGGGAAATGAATCTACAATATTGGTTGATGAGTTTTTATTCCGATAATAGGTAATCAACGTGAAACACTAAATACTTTCTCCTCTCGAAAGATGATTCCTGATCTGCTGAGTCTTTCCAATAGTTTCTGTTTTCAGTTCAGATTTCCGGCAGTTGCATGTCTTGCTGAAAATTGCATTAGTGTTTTTTTAACCTTCTGCTACCTTGTATAGTTCATTCTTTATGCTTACCACAGTCTGGTGAAGTATGACTTCTCATATATTTATTTTGCTAAACTCAAGTTCATGTATTTCTTGTAGCTTAATACTGTAGGCTACCCTTCTGTCAAACAAACAGAAGCATTAAACATGTATTTATGGTCTTTCTTTGCCTTTGAGCTTGAACTCAAAAACATTCCAGATTGGTGAGATAACAATCTTGAAATTATCACATCTTATGTTAATACTGGCCAGGTGAGCTCCCTGAGTGAAACCTGGCTTGACGGATCATACGTTTTACTTTTACAATTTGGTTACTGTGCAGTCACTGAACATATTCGCAACAGGCTGCCAATATACTTTTAACAAAAGAACATCAAAGTTTACTTTCCCAAAACAAGACAAAAAACACAACTTGTCTCATTACAAGTCTCAGAAATAAAGATCTAACCCTTTTAGCTTCAGTGACAACCTTACAGATACTCAAACCTCAGTAAAGAGTCACTCTGTTTCTACTTTAATGTTCCTTGTTCAATTGGCATGGCCGTACTTGATTTTTTTCCAGCAAAACTCTGTTTTCACTTGATGCTATTTTATTTACTTAATGTCTCTTCATGAAATCCTTAAACAAATTGCAAACACTTATTTCATATCATGCGCGATTCCTTATTTACTCTTCCATAGCATTTTGTTTCTGATGCTTTCCATTACCAACATTAAATCATTTTAGAACTTCATTTCTCCTGGCCTGACTTTTCTGGAGACTGCTAAACTGCATTACTAGTCTTGCAGGTTTTTCCTCCCTGGATGACCTGCATCCATTTGAAAGAAAGCTACACACAAACTGCTATTCTGGATGACTCTGTGTTTCTCAAAGAACTGGTCCCTGTCTCCCGCTGTTTTGGAACATGTTGTTTTGAGCAAACACTTTTTTTTTTGCCTTTCTCTACTCTTTGTTTTCTGAAGCATTGAACTATTCATCTGAAGGGATATTTTTCAAAAGCCTCACTTCAATACATGTCAATACATTTTCACTTAGAAGTCAAACCTTAACTCATGACTCAAGAATGAAAGTCAGTCCTTCTCTTCCTATTCCAAACAAGATAGAAATTCAACTCAAATTCAATACAAACACAGTTCTGTCCACTTTCGAATTCAAGTTTCCAAATAAATATATATCAAAAAACCTTCATCACAATCTTCTCTCTCTGATAGTTGTGGAGACTTATTTGAATGAGATGTGGAAAATTTTCAAACTACATTTGTTCGATATAGACCAGAAGTACTGAATGCGCTTTCATTTTTGGTCACTTCTCACAACAAAGGGGATCGTAAAAGGACAAAATGTATGAGGAGGTATGGCTTTAGTAACTGAACAAATTAGGTTGAGAATAAAACTATGAAGGATAATGATAACATTAAATTTATATATATGGGTAACAATTGGTTTCACTTGTAAATTGTGCACAGACTTTTCTTCATGTCTCCGTACCTCTGGAATATTCAAAGGAGTCATCCTCGACTCTCCTACTTCTCATCTACTTCCTGCCTCTTGATGACATCATCCCAAAGGCATAAAATAAGTTCCATACGTACCCTGAAAATACAAAGTTCTACCTGATCACCAACCCTCAGAAAATGTTCAAAGCTGTGCTGTTAAACAGCTTCTCCATCATTCAGTCTCAAGAGTCAAAATTTCCTCTAGTAAAACTACGGAAAGATCTAAACCATTCTTTTTGACTTCTCTCACAAAGTCCATTTCCCAACAACCAATTGTCTCTCCCTATCCCCCATCATACTGAACCAAAATGTTGACAACTCTGTTATCCACAACCCTGATCTAAAATTCCAAGCTCAAATTCCCTCTATCATATGGTTCACCTGTTGCTAAAACGCTAATTTATGCTCATGTTACTTCGAAACTCAAATACTTCAATGCTATCCGAGACAGCCTCCCATCATCTACGCTTATCCTAAGGTCTACTGTTCATATCCTGACACCAAATCTTATTTATCCATCACTCCTGTGCCCGCTAACCAGCGCTGACTCCAGTCTAGCATCATCCCAATTTTAAAATTCTCATCCTCATGTTCAAATCCTGACACAACCAAGCTCCTACCTAACTTTGCAACCTCCTCCAATCCAATAACCCTCTGAGATCTGTGGACACCATTCTAATGTTATGCACATCTCCTGATTTTTATTGCTGAAGCATGTGCAGCCATACTTTCAGCTACTTGAACCTCCCTCCTCATTTAAGAGGCTG